TCAATAAATGATGCAGTCAGATGCTTTCGCTTGTCGCAGCATGTACACGGTACTGTCTGCAGCAGTGATTCCAGGAGACAGTCAGAACAAAGTTTCTCAATAAATGACACAGATGTTGTAACAGCTTTGAGTGAATCAGATGTTCTTAATGCTCATAAGAATGTTTCTTTGACAATGTAGCACGTAGGACGATGAAGCTTTGAGTGAATCAGATGTTCTTAATTCTCATAAGAACATTTCTTTGACAATGTAGCACGTAGGACTGCGTCTGATGGCCCTGCCTGGAAGCCTGGAGTTTAATTTGTTAGTTGGTGATACATTAGCCGTGGAAAGAGCAAACGAGGGCGAGCGGTTTAAACTGATCACAAGGAAAGTTCCAGGGAGAAAATCAATTTTTAAGAATTTTAGAAAAAAGGCGTTGTCTTTTATTCATGTGTGATGTGAGAAAAAAAGTCAGAGGAGGTTTCCGGTGAATTTGAGTTTCTCTCTATAACCATGATATTTTTTACTCACCTTTACAATGACAGTCAGCAACAATTTTCATTCAATTTTCATGGATAACATCAAAGGAATTATAGAACACACGACAGTAGTTGAATTATCCTTCTAATGTCAGTCACTTCTTGACAACAATAAATCTCTTAAAAAATAGAGAATATCAAAGAAGTTAGAGAACACATCAAAGGCGTTGATCCCAGACCACTATCAAACCACCTCACTGGTTATTCCTATACAGGACATGAACAAATTAACATATATCAAATAGTTTGCAGGAAACACCAAAGAAATCTGAAGAATATACTGTGCAAATTGTATTGACATGAATAATGGACAATGACAAACATCGTGGAAAAATACAAACGGCTCATAAAACTCTCCAAGTCAAAGAACATCTAAGAGAAGTGTGAGGCCTATAATAAAACAATTAGGAGTATATGTTTTTATTCATGTAAATATCAAAGAAGGCCAAGGGCCAAGGGTAAGTCATGAAAACCAACCAGGACAATGACTCAGAAAATGACAAGCCTATGTACGACTCTCATACATCAGAACCTTGAGGTGGTGCTAGGACACATTCACAGCTGCCTACAGTACTATTTTTTTTTTTACTATTTTTTACCACAAACACTAACTTTTTCCAGTTGTCTGTGTGTGACAATGCTGAATTATTGTCCTGTAGTTCCTTCCCAGGGATCACAGCACATTTGTGTGTGCGTGTGTTTTCACTTCCTCTGTGCAGCCATGGTCTAATTGCCATGAATTTGAATACAATTAAGACAAATGACTGTGTATCAATCACATTTAGTGAAGAAAGCTGAAATCATTACCACATTCTTCAAAATCTGCAGAACTAAAGCTCTGCTTTGTTTGTTTGGTTTTTTTTTCTTCTTAGAACTAAAGCTCTGCTTTGTTTGTTTGTTTTTTTTTTCTAAAATGACGTTTTCAATTGTAGTTCCAGCAGCATGTGGGATAAAGAGCAATCCAAAGTGCAGTTCCTGTTTTCAGTTTCTAAATAAGTAATCTTAGTTAACTCGTCTTTAGCTGAGTCATCTTGGATGAACTTGGAGAATAATAAACAGTTTCTACTTTCATATTTGCCGACGGACTCCGCATCTTTTTCCAGCAGCTAGAGCAGGTTTGTCATGAGGTCAGTGTATTTGCTTTTCTGTCCAGCTGCGCTGCGAAGGCCGTGCCTCCTGGACGGTAGAGGGCGGTTGCAGGTGGGCTGCAGGCCAACGGCCTATTTTTACTCTCTTTATGACTCAAGCTGCCTAATGAGAGGATCCATAGACCATTAATAGGTTCTTATTAACCTCCGAAACTGATGCAATCCATGCACAGATGTCAAGTTAATTTAGTGGTTAGAAAGTGAGCAACAGTTGTCATGGTTACCTACCACCACTCACCTTGGCTGCACTGTTTCTGACCACTGTTGTTGTTGTCACGCTCAACGGCAGCTCGGAGCTTTTAACAACGTCAACGTTTGAATCAAAACGTTGAGATTTGAGGCGACAAATGTGGTCACGCCCTACTTCCTGTCACCGATTGATGAAATCCGTTTTAAATATTGAGTTTTTAGATAAAATAAAAAACATGTTGCATTGTGTAAAAGTCAACGTGCACCAGGACCTGACAATCTGATTGGTGGAAGGACTAATAGTCAACTACAAAGTTTGTGTTTTTGAATATATAGGTTAAACCCTTCAGAATAAAGGCAGTGTCACATATTAACTACAAGTTCATGTGAAAATGTAATGTTGCATTTGTGTCCAGATGTCTTGAAACGGTTTATTAAGCATCAGCACAGATGTGAGACAGATGTTTCGGAATGTACTGTATGTGGGATGATAAAAAAAACAAAACAAACGAGTGCATTACAACCTTGTGTTTACAGACTTGTTCCAGTCACATCGCAGATTTTTAAAAAATTGTTTGTGATTCACAGTTCTCTATAACAGCTGATCTATTCGTACCAAAGCCTTACAACAAAGTCGAATTTAGACTGGTGTTTATGTGTGTGTGTGTGTGTTTGTGTGTGTCCTTATGGGTGGTCTGCTGCCAGGTGTTGTTGAAAAGCTGCCCACCCTCCTCAGCTGCCCATTAGTAACACAGATGCACACACGCATGCACACATCATGTGGTTGGAGACATGGGGTAACCTGAGCCCAGAGAACCCAGTGCCTGTCACAGCTCATTAGCATTGGGATGAAATGAAGGCAGCTCGAAGTGGTTCGTTGCTTTAGTTGGAGCTTCACCAAGCAGGAAGCTCACAGCTCCGTGCACCCGCAGCCACTCGGCAAACCACCCACTCGCCCGACCCTTCCTGCACACACACACACACACACACCACACCTACAGTATATTAAGGACCTATACCATAACTCAAACCTATTTATATGTTCAGCGCTGGAGTCTAAAAATAACCCAAATATTTACTTCTATTTATTTAAACCCGTCGTCTGTAGAATGGATAATCCTGCTGTCTGTTTTCTTTCGTTTGATACGAAGGTCTGCTCAGGTATCAAATTGTTTTTTAATGTGTTTATTAAAGCAACAAGGGTATTAACTCTACACATCTGTTGAGCAGCCAAACCCAGTCAATAGAGCCTTTCTCACTCCCCAGTTCCCTGCAGTCGGCAGAGCAGCAGCCCTGTTTGCGGCGTCTGCTGAATACTAATGCAATTTCCTGGTGGTTCTCTGGTGGAGAACACTGGATCTGTGTTTTTGACCAAAAAGGGTGCAAGTGTTCTGGTTTAATTGATTTCAAGGCATCGGTAATATTGATATACACACTGAGGATAATTAAGTTTACTCCTGAGTCACAGCTCCAGTTTACACTGTAGTTGAGCGTCGTCAATACCTGTTTAAAAAAGTTAAAAAGTTTCATTTACCGCAGGAACATTATAAATTATACACAAGGCGACCGACTATTTAGTCTTAATGTCCTCATTATATTGACTTTCTTTGTATAGGAGTAGATTTTAGGAGTATAGGAGTGTAATATAATTGACAATGTACATCTATATACACACACACGCATATACATACATACATATATGTTTATATATGTACAGTATAAATCTGTGTGATATGTGTAATTGGCTATTGTTTTATAAATGTAGATTTCTATGTTTAACACACACACACATATACTGTACATATATTTATATAAATTAATTGACATTTTTTAATAAAAAATTCTTATACATATCAATTACATAACAGAAACATTATATTTATATATATGTGTGTGTGTGTATATTTCAGTACTTTATGGCGCTGACGCTGTATTGAAGTTCCTGTGAATTGTCTTGAGGTTCACTGATTCACATGAGGCCGTGATGAATCATTGTTGTGTTGGAAAAGTCCAGATTTTTGACCAAATGCAGTGGTGTTCCAGATGTTGATGAAGAAAAACAGGAGAAGGGAGTTGTGAAATAGTTTATGGACGAGTGCGACTCTTAACCAGGACAAAGGTCACATATTGTGAGGTTTGTTCCAAAAAAAGTCACATTTTCTAAAAAAAAAAATGATTTGATGAATTCACAGCATGGGAATATTTATATTCGAAGCAGCAACTCGTCAATGCAGCTGACATGTTTCTTTTAAGGTCGTTGTAATTAAGGAGTGAGCTGTTTTCCTCCGCAGCAGTTCACATGGCAGATATTTTGGACTCCTTCTCATTAGTGGCTGCGCTGCCTTGTAGCTGGGTACTGTGTTGTACAGAAGAAGAAAGATTTTTTTTTAAACCTCAATGGATGTAAAATAACTTGTGTCAGGCAGTGCTAATTAAAACCTTTTTTTTTTATGCGTGCACAATAGTACCACAGAGCTACAGTTACAGTGAGTCTCCTTGTTTGACTACAGTACTACAGTACTGTGGTATTGTATACAAGGTGGAAACTATGATGTTTTGTTGTTTCTCTGATTCCCATGCTAGCTTTCTGGTTAGCATGCTAGCTCCTGGCAAGATAAATGCTAACTTGCTATGTTGCTTTCTATATCTGCTGTACTGTTTTCTTGTTGTAAAAGCAAGTTTTTATGCTCTCACCTTTGTTTTACATGTTATTTAAGATAAAGGTTATATACAGTACATTAACTTAGGTTATTTAAGGATTATTTTTGAGGGTAGTTGTGGAGCTACAGTTACAGTTACTGCTTGTTTGAGGGTAGTTGTGGAGCTACAGTTACTGCTTGCTTGATAAAACTACTGTACTGGCCGTTGGATGGAAGACAGGAACAGAAAAGATTACTTTAGGTTATGATAAAATAATTGAGCATTCCCAAAATATTTGTGTCTAATGGGTATCAAAGTGTTTAATCTAGTCGGTTATTAAAAGTTAGTTTAGAGTTAGTAATAGCTTAGCGTTAGTGTAGACACTGAAAATCTGAAGTTTTGGCTGGAGATACTGGATTAGCTGTATATGTAACTTATTTCTAAATCTTTTTGTTATTTATTTAACTTCATGTGACTGACGACCTACTCTCTCTTCTTCCAGAATTCCATGAATCTCCCTCCAGACAAAGCTCGACTTTTGCGGCAGTACGACAACGAGAAGAAGTGGGAGCTCATCTGTGACCAGGTGGGCTGGATTCATTTATCTTTTGTTTGTTACACCAGAAAAGGGAGTTCTGTTGCAACTAAAACTATCATTCAAACCTGGAGTGGCTCCGTCTTAGTGTGTGTTGTGACTACAGAGCCCATGCTCCATTGCCCTGACTCTATTCTCTAAGCCCCTCTTGGCCTTTGCACACTCCCCTGGTCAAATGGGTTAAGTGGCTCAGCAGGCAGCGCAGAGTTAGGCAGTTAAAACAATGTTATTGCTTTTAGTGCAGTAAAAAGGAAATAACAGAGAGTCCATGAAGTTTGTCTGCATATCTGTGCAGAAGAGGGAAAACAGATCATGACCCCCACCCACTAAAACTGTACCGGGGGCAGCTGACCCTGAAGGTGACGCTGCCAGAGGGACAGGAATATACTTTCAGTTCCTCTGTCAGGCCAGAAGTGGAACTACATTTTTAGGTTCCCTTTAATTTATTGATAAATAAAGAACCGCTCACAGTTTATTTTCCGTCAAGAAGGATGTTGCTCTTACTGTAAAACAGGAACAAAATGTAGACGGTTTGAAACGATCTGGACTTTACTTCTGCCATAGAGATCTTTTTTTTTTTTAACCAGCCATTGCTGTTGGATACACCCTTGCTCTAAAACAAACACAACATTTGCATTTTTGCATAAAACCAGTTCCACTCCTGGTTCATCTAAAAGTAAATAATTTTGTCGTATTGTAGTAGATTTTGACTCCTGGGTTGCTAGTTATTTTCAGAGGAATAAAACACGTGTAATATTTTTTTATATGATATAATTTATATCATTTGTATTGTTTTTATTTAAACTCTTTATTGTCCTAACACTACAGAACGATGTTTTTTAGCTTTCACTTGTTTTCCAAACAAGCGTTTGCCCATGACACTACAGGCAGCACTGGGAGCAGAGTGTTTTCTGTGTCGTAGCTACAGTGCATGCCTTGATGTATCCATAGCAACAGTAAAGGAGGTAGTCAGGGATGTAGACACGACAGGTGCACTCTCTTTGAAAAAACAGGTCATGCATAGGTTGATATGTAATATTCTTGGGTCAGAGGAGATGTGCAGAGAACGAAAACAAACTCTCCCTTTAATGACATTTATACAAGTTAGACTTTAAAGCTTTTACTGCAGTAAACCTGAAAGGATTTTGTGTATAAAAAAAATTACCCACTATTCCTCATTCATTTACTTCTCATGCTTTCACTCCTGGAGTTTTGTCTCATTTCTGTATGAAGTCTTTGCTTCATCTCTTCAATTTTTGTACAAAGCAGCTCCTCCAGACAAAACCCAGCTACAGAAAGCATGTTGTGACCAGTTTATACGAGGTCCTAAAAGCAGACATGTGTTCCCTGTAATATTCACTCCCACTCTGTGTACTTGCGTGTTGTCATTCCACACGTTTCTTTTCACGCAACAGGGTGTATTCAGGACTTGTTGACTGCTACACAGCTGACTGTCAGATTTCTTTAATATAAATGTGGAGTAAATGAAATTCCCAGACAGAACTCGGCTGTCTGCCCTTTTTGCTCGCTCACCCTCTGCCTGTCAGCTGGGTTCAGGCAGCAGCCAGCTCCCTCTTTGCTGACACAACTGTCAGTTTTCCTGTTTTTGTTTTTTTTTTGCGAGATGCTGGCGACGTGGCTGGGAGGAAGTTGATGCTGATGAAACAGCAAAGCCTGGTGTATTTAATCTAGAGTTGAAACACGATGAAAACCAATGAGAACATCTGAGTACAGTTCTAATTTTTTGCAGGTTTATTTCAGGGTCGTGTTGCTGCAAACGGCAGGAAATTCTGTTGTGTTTATGTCTCAGAAACTAGAAAAAACTGAAAATTTGGTTTAATTTGTTACTATTAAAAAGATGAACAATGGTTAGAAAACGCAGATAGTGGGAAATGAATATGTTATTTATTTATTTTGTATTTATTGACAGTTTAAGAGTTGGAGACAGTTTGAGGATCATGTTCTTTTCATTGCACATCTGTAGAATTTACCAGTGCCTGTGCAGTTTTTTGGGTTAAGAAAAAATTCTAAATATTTCTAGTGACTACAGAGTATTGCATTTGTGTTATATTTTAGTACAAACATGAAAATGTGACATTAATATCTTGTAAAGGATTATCTTAGCTGCACAGTCTAGTCAAGTCTTTGCCTCACAGCTGTAAGGTCACCAGTCCAGGTCCTGACCCTCAGTGACGGTTGTACTATGACTCCACATATTCCTTGCACAGTGGTTTTCTTAACATTCCTTTCAACAGCTCAAAACATAAAAACAGAGAAATTGAGAGTTAAACTGACTCACTGAAAGTTAGTAAAAACATTGGTTTGTAGCTGATACAGCTTGAAGTCAACTGATCCTGATCAAACCGAGAAGGAAACGTAAACGCTGGTCAGGGTCAGGGTCAGGAGGTGTCTTTACTCTCTGAGACCATGTAAAGACCCGGTGATCACAATGACACGGCCATGTGTCTCGTGTGCTGACCCTGATATGCATGTTCTGGGCCAGTTCACTAACTCCAACCATTCACGGGGCT